GGGTGCGGAGCGACGGCGGGTGGCGGGAGGCAGTGCCGGGACACGGCCGGAGCAGAGCTGGGGGCGGAAGCCGGAGAGGGGCGAAAGCTTTTGCCAGCAGCCTCTGGCACTGCCACTGCTGGGAGAAGTCCCTCCTTCCCTCTCGCGGGGCTGAACGAGCCATTTGCTCGGGATGGCCCGTGCAGCGGGACTCGCCGGCCCCCGCTGTGGCTCCGGGCCCTGGGAGGGTCACCCTGCAAATTCCTCTGAGTGGCTGTGGGGGAAGAGGGGGAATCTCCCACGCTCTGATTTATTTCTTCGCCTCTGCGCTGCGTGCTCCACCTGCAGCGCCTTTACCTTGGGCCGAGGGCTGCCCCGGTCAGGTTCTCCAGGACGTGCCTGCAGGGTCTCCCTTCTTTCCTCAGGCCTTTCCATTTGGGCAGGAGCCCACAGGGAGGAGAGCTGCAATTGCCAGATACACCTGGTGAAGTTAGGTGGGGCTCAGGGCTCTTTCATCCTCTGCCAACCTAGGTGCTGCACCCCTACAGTTCATCCCAAGCTCAGCACTACACCCATGAGCTCCCAGCCCTCCCTGTATCTCCTATCACAGATCCAAGGGTGATACCCCAGACAGCTTGGGTCATAGGCTCTGGCTCTACTGCATAGCCGGGGCTGGTGTTCATCTCACCTAGCTTCTGATATCTACGTGACAGGGGACTATAAGTGGTTTTATGTGATCTATTTGGCCAGTCCTATATAACTTGGCCTTACTGAGGTCACCTCAGTAAAGTCGGAGTTGTCCTCTTTGCATGGACAGCTGCTGGAGATGTGCCAGTACCTCACCTAGCAGCACCACCATGGAAGACCAAGTGCACTGCATCTGCCCAGTAGCCCTCTGTGAAGGCTTTTATCTGCATCAGAGAAAAAGCAGTAGAGTTGTACTGAAGTCACTATGAAAAAACAAAAAAACAAACAACCCCCCCCCACAGAAAAATTTAGGTTGCATGGGACTTTTGAAGGTCTGTGGTCCAACCTCTGCTCAAAGTAGAGCTAACTAAAAAGTTAGACTGGGTTACCTAGGGCTTCATCCAGGTGAATTTTGAAGAATGCCAGGGATCCCTCGGTGCAATTCATACCTGTTGCCTCCCATCCTGTCACTGGGCACCTCCAAAAGTCTGGCTCTGTCTCTATAACCCTGCTAGGTATTCACAGGGATTTGATCCCCGTTTGCCATCTCCTTTCCCACCTGAACAAATCCACCACCCTCAACCTCTTCCTGTCTGCCCTGAGCTCCAGCTCCGACCGTCCTGGTGGCCTCCACTGGGCTTGCTCCAGCCTCTCCCAGTCTGCCATGTACTGGGGAGCCCCAAACTGAAGCCAGTGCCCAGATGTGGCCTCACCAGGGCCAAGAGAGGCACAGTCCCTCCCTTTCCCCCTGCCGGCTCCACTCTTGCTTGTGTAACCTTGGATGTGGTTGTCCTTCATTGCTGCAAGAGGACAATACTGATCCATTTAGTCCTGATCTCATTGCCCCCCTGTATGCATGTATATACATAATTATCCTGATTTAATAGAATTTAATTTCTTGAGAATTTGTTTTGCTGCTTCCCACCTGAATTTTTGTCAGCTTTTTTTTCTGGTAGCTCCAGAATTACATCTTCAGCCCTACATGGTGCTCCATCCCAGACTATCCTTAGGCACTGCTCAGCTCTCTCAGCCTTCAATTTCAAAAAAATCCTCTATGACACATGGTTTTAACGTAAACTTCTGCACTTCAGTTTCATCTTAATTTAAGGCAAAGGCCAGTCTTCCTTGAAAACCCTTAAATCTTGCTGTGTGGTAGGGTTAGGCATCTGGAGATGGTCAGGGATGCAGGAGACAACAGACCTCTGTAGAAACACAGGTATATTCATTGGATGAATTGAAATAAGGAAATGACACTTTTGTGCTTTCTGTGCTACACCAGAGGAGACTTAGTCCTGCCCCCACGCCAGGGAAAATCTGGGAATACAGAGGAAAATAGAAAACAGCCACCTGGTGGAAATCAAAACTGCGGACGTTCCCCAAGGTTTTTGTCCTGGCCCGTGGCCTCCCCTCGGACGGGGCTGCCACCCGCCTCCCTGCGGTCTGCGGACTGGCTCCCAGCACGAGGCCAGCATCGATGCTGCACGCAGCAATTAGCAAATGTATTTCCTCTTTGCCCCACCCTCTTTGAAATATTTACAGCCTTGCTCGGGTGCAAACTAGCTCATTTTTAACAAAGCCTCATTTTCTCTGAATGATTTCCAAGCCTTTGTGGGCATCCCCCTCTCCCCTGCAAACCCACACGTTCTTCAACATACGTTTAAGTGCAAAGTATGCGCGAGACTTTCTCCTGTGGTCAAATATGCCACGGACCTATCTCCTGCGCGCAGTCTCTGATATCTAACATGGCAGGATCTCACATCGAATGACTTTCCACACTTGGAGCACTGATTTTTCTCCCCTGTGAGTTTTCTGGTGTACGGAAAGGTGTGAGCTCTGCCCAAAGCTTTTCCCACACTCAGAGCAGGTATAAGGCTTTTCCCCTGTGTGCACCCGCTGATGTTGAATCAGCTTGGATCGCACGCTGAAGCATTTCCCGCACTGGGAGCACTGGTAGGGCTTTTCTCCCGTGTGCGTTCTCTGATGGACAATAAGGTCTGAGCTCTGTATGAAGCTTTTCCCACAGTCCAGGCATTTGTACGGTCTCTCTCCAGTGTGCTGTCTCTGGTGTTTAATAAGGTTTGATCTTTTACTGAAGCACTTCCCGCACTCAGAGCACCGGTAGGGCTTCTCCCCCGTGTGGGTCCTCTGGTGTGCCGTTAGCGTCGAGCTCCGGGTAAAGCTTTTCCCGCATTCAGGGCACTCGTACATCTTCTCGCCGGTGTGCACTCTCTGGTGCGTCACGAGGCTGGAGCTCCTGTTGAAGCACTTCCCACACTCGGAGCACTGGTAGGGCTTCTCCCCGGTGTGGGATCTCTGGTGGACGATGAGGTCGGAGCTCCGCGTGAAGCTTTTCCCACATTCAAGGCACTTAAAAGGCTTCTCTCCTGTGTCATCTCTTTGAGGTGTGATGAAGTCCAAGCCCCAGCTGGCCTGCTCTCCACATTCAGAGTTCAGCATGCATCCATCTGCAGGGTGGATGTCCTCCTGGACTGGTGCTTCTCCGAGGTCACTGTCACCTCCTCCACAGTGAGCCGTTCTCTGCTCCGTCTTCTCCATTACTGGACTCCACTGACTCTCCCAGGCTCTTGCCTGACCGGCACTCCCAGCAGTCTTCCCTTCCAACATCAACACTGATGGTACAGGCATGCTCACTTGCTCAGGATGGTGGGTTTGGGTACCTTCCTCCTCAAGCTCCTTGTCTCTCCCAGAACCTGTGTGACACAGAGAAGCCAGATGATAGGTTATTTTTGGGGCCAGGTAGAAATAACATCTGGCAGGAAGGGGTAGAGAAGCTAATGCCCAAATTAATAAAGCAGGGAAATTGCCTGAGGGTGCTGCAATTCTGCTTCCAGAGTTTCTCAGGGGCAGAAGAATAGGAAGTCAATGGAGAGGAAATTTCTTCTAATTTCCAACCAGGATCAGTGGAACTGTATCTCATAATAGGATAAGTCACATTCTGGCTAAAATCCTGGTGGGGAGTTGATAGGGTATAAGAGTTCATGCTGATGTAGATTGTCATGGTCTGTGTCAAAGACCCCATATCCTCACCTGTGCGTCGACTGCAGAGTGTTTCTTTTTTCTCTCTTTCTTGAAGATCAGGGACCCAGAGCTCTTCCCCTTCTTCCATCTGGGCGAGCAAATCTGGTTTGGCAGTGGGAAAACCTGTTCCAGAGGGTGAAAGCAGAAAATAGTATGAGTGACTTCAGAATTGCAAAGTATTTGTAAAATTAGAGCAATTCTAACCTTCCCCCAGCCTGGGAATGGGAATATGGTCATCTTGGCTACCTGGGCTCTGAGGGCGTCCGCGCGAACATGGTTCTTCCACCCAGTTCCCACAGAAGGCAAACACCAAACATTTGACCTGCACAGGCCAAAGCCAATCTTTGGGATGGGGCTAGTTCAGGAAAAGATCCTCTTGGGGAAGAAAGATATTTCCATCCCCTTGAAAAAAAATACCAAAGAGAAGAAGAGAAGGGTTTTCCTTAACATTCCTTCTCACTCTGTCGCATATGAAGAGTGTCAAGGAGATGATCTATCTCACTCCTGAGCACTGCAGAGCTCAATCCATCTGAAAATTGAGAGCATCTAGAATGTAAAGACACTGAGCAAAAGCTTCAGAGAGCTTTTGGCTCCTGGCGCTCGAAGACACAGAACTCCTCACCCAGCAACGTCACGTTCTCATAATTTTCCAGCATGACATCCACGTAGAGAGTTCTCTGCCCCAGGTCCAGGTGGGCCCACTGCTCCTTGGTGAAATACACAGCCACCTCCTCAAAGGTCACGGGCTCCTGGAAGAGTAAGAGATGCCCCTTTCAGTATCTGTTGCCTCAGCTCCACCATTTAGGAGGGAGAAGAATCAAAAACCAGAGGTCCTGGCAGAGGAAGAAGAAGAGCTGCTCTAGCCTGTCCCAAGCAACCAAGAGAGCACACGGCGTTCAGGCAGAGAAGCAAGGGCCTGCCTTTCCTCCTAGGAGATGGGGTGGACAAAGAGGAGACTCACAGACCTGAAAATAAACCTCCAAGCAAGACCCACGGATGAAACCCCAAAAGGAAACCAACAGCCTCCTCATTCCCACCTGGACAGCAGGTGGTGAAGGGTGGCTTTTCCCAGTGCATGTGCAGCTGCTCCTTGTCCACCTCACTGCAGCCTATGTCTAAGACATTCAAGCATCAGCAGAGAATGAGGCAAGTTTCTGCACTCACAAACAGGTGTTTCCTTTCCCAGAATGGCTGGGTTTCTGCTCTAACATACAAACATCCTCTTTGAAGAAATGTATTTTGTTTTCCTGCACATCATCTCTCTTTTTAGTCTGTCTGTTTTCTCTTCCATCTCCAGAGTGAGCCCCAAAATGAGTCCCATTAAGTTGTCTACCTGAGCCAGTTTCACAGTAGCCATTTCTTTTTCGGTGTTTCAGGATGTTTGGCTATTCTGGAGTAAAACGCAACAGCCCATTGGTGCTAGAAAAGGAAAAGGGCGAAGCTTCAGAAAGGTTCCTTGCCATCACTTTCTCATTCCGCTTTTCACCCTTCCCAAGTCTTTCACAGTCCATGGTTCGCCAAAAGCAAATCAGCGAGGCACTTTCTAAACTTCCTTCCAGGAAAAGGCCTTTAAAAATCAGAAGTGGAGAAATAATGAAAGAGCATAGGGTGTTTCTGAAGGGGATTCTTAAGCTTGTGCTGAAAACATTGACCTCACTAATATGACTTTTATTCTTGTAAAAGCTTGTTTTTTAAATGCTGCTTTCCATGTTTTCACTTTCCCACCCCCTCAGGCTTCAGTGGTATCACCGGAAACAAAGCAACACAAAGTATCCAGGCTCTGTTGTATGGTAGATACAGTGTATCTACTGTAATGAAACAGTTGATGCTTTTCCAGGGATCCCAAAGTAACACGAAATGGGCATGTAAACTGCTTCCTAAGCAGAGGGGAAAAATATATATATTTGACTAGGACAAGTCTTCTGACTTCAAACCCAGGTCAGGTTGCTCAGTTCTATGTCCCACCAAGGTCTAAATATCTCCAAAGATTGAGATCTCCCATGCCTCTGTCCCACTATTTCACCATCCTCAGGGTGAAGGGTTTTTTCCTCCCCTTATATTTAATCAGAATTTCCTGTCTTGCAAATCCTGCCCTTTGCCTCTCATCCCATCATTGGGTACCTCCAGAAGTCTGGCTCCAGCTGCTCTACAACCCCATTAGGCAGTTGCAGACAGCAATTCAACCCTCCTTGGCCGTCTTCTTTCCAGGCTGGACAAACCCACCACCCTCAGCCTTTCCCCATCCATCCAGAGCTCCAGCCCCACAAGCTCAGTGACCACCACCGCTGGGCTCACTCTGGCCTGTCCCTGTCTGCCCATTAACCTCTCATGGGCAGACAGGTCATTTAATGAATATTTGATCACTGGAGAATGAAATGAGAAAGATGAGAGACTGGACATAACTAGACAGCGAGAGAGCAAGGGGCTAGTCCGCTAGCTGGCTGCTTAAAGCAGTAATACTTGTGCTGATAGTAGGGATATAAGGAGACTCCCTCATCATTTAAGAATTAAGTAAAATCTTAAAGGTGGTGGAAAATAATTTTCCCTATCACCTGCCCCCATTATGGACCTCACAACCCAGGAGATGACACGTCCCCTGCTGTCCCCACTGTCCCTTCCCCACACAGGAGGAGACCATACCCAACCCAGGCCAGGGCAGGGGGACCTGTAGCCACCCTGAAAGGGTCCATACCCACCCCAAAGGGTGCCAGAGGGTCTGTACCCATCCCGAAAGGTGCCAGAGGGTCCGCATCCAGCCTGAAAGGTGCCAGAGGGTCCGTACCCAGCCCGAAAGGTGCCAGAGGGGCTATATCCAGCCTGAAAGGTGCCAGAGGGTCCGTACCCAGCCCGAAAGGTGCCAGAGGGGCTATATCCAGCCTGAAAGGTGCCAGAGGGTCCGTACCCAGCCCGAAAGGTGCCAGAGGGGCTATATCCAGCCTGAAAGGTGCCAGAGGGTCCGTACCCAGCCCGAAAGGTGCCAGAGGGGCTATATCCAGCCTGAAAGGTGCCAGAGGGTCCGTACCCATCCCGAAAGGTGTCGGAGGGTCCATACCCAGCCCGAAAGG